TCTCCATTTCCTCCTACATATTTGTTGAGCCGCAGGTTCTTGTTTAAGTTTGTTCGCAGAGTTTCTTGCTGTTAATTCTTTGTAACCGACCATCTGATCTTCAATTTGCCTCCAAAGCCTCAGGATGGTCGGTGGTGGGTGTCTTGCGCTGCGGGTTGGCCACCCCTCCGTACACCTCTTGAAATGCTCCCTTATGACCGGGCGACTTACATAGTCTCTCCTGAGGAAGTCCTACTCACTGCCTTCACGTGGCGGAGGTGTTTATTTCACCAAAGTGAGAGGGCAAAAGCGGATGCCCGGCGCTCTTCACCGGGTTGATTGTCCATTGGATGACAGTCTAGGGGAGATGGCTTATCCCTGATTCCAAACCTCCAACGACTGGCGTATGAAGCTTACCGGAGCTCACCGGCAGACGTATGGACAAAGGGCTTATTGGATGCCCTGGATGACTGGCCCCATTCAAAAAGGCGAATGAACCGGACTCCGGTCACCGGCTGCCAATGGATAGTGGACTCCCTACTCCACTCCTACTGCCTTGTAGGTCACAATTGGTTGTGTAAAGGCTAGAGCTGCACTCTCAAACAAAAGGCCGAGCGATCCTGGGGACATCACTCGTACCCAATTCCCGTGAAACTTCATGGTTCATGAAGCCGGCTCATCCTCCCGTAGGAGATAGCCGAAGTAAAGTAAAGTAAGTAATTTGGAGCCAGCGAAGTGGGCAGCTGTTGATAAAAGTCCGCAACTGGCTGGCTGTTGGAAATGCTTTACTTGACACACGCAGTGCAAGTTCCTGATCCATATAGAAGAAGTGACTGACTGAGTGACTTAACATTTGCGTTGAAAATCCGAATTTCGTTCTTTTTGCTGGTTTCAGAAGATTTACCAACTGATTTTTGAGTGATGAAGGACTGTGTTGCCTTTCCGATCCTGGTTTCGACGTCTTCATCGGTGCTGCTGTCCGCCTGTGGTTAAAACGATACTGCCTAGAAAAGTGGAAGAAGTGCCATCTTTCAAATTTTTTTCCCGTTGATCATGATTAGTGCTCTTTGGGGTGGTTGTTGGTTGGTTGTCATCATCACTCCCATCTTCTCTATGTTCACTCGAATATTAAACCAATAGATGTCTGTCTGTTTTCAACATAGAACTTTATAACGGTGTGCAGCAGTTCAAATCGCCACAATCCATGTAGCACACAAAGCAAGGGAAGAAAGTAGAAAAAAATGCAAAATGGAGACAGTAAACAGAGATATGAAGCAAAAAGAATAGTAATGTCGAAGAACAAGATAGTTTCATTTGGGTATTATAAGTCACTTGAAGTGGATGCATCTGCGCCATCATCGAGAACGATTTTGAGCTAGCCATATTACCGATTGTCTCCAGCCATTGGTTTTTACCGTCCCCAGGACTCCAACCAGAAAGTCTACACCTTCCTACCTCAGTGGCTTAAACTAACTGTTGTGGATTTATTTCATTGACTGATGAAGCCATGTTTTGGTTTGACCACCAGTGGGCTTTTCCCCTCCCCTCGACGCCTAACCTCAAAATTCTCACTTTATTATACCACTTAACATACACGGGAGATAGAACTCAGGTGCCTGCGGTAAAAGACAGCTAGTCGGGCTTTTCATGTCTTCCGCCCTCAATGGCCACGTCTCACAGTCATAAAGAAGGACGGAGCGGACTGCTGAGCAGTACACACGTCCTTTGGTCGATAGCCAGCCGGATATCACGTCTACTCCAGAGACGGCGTAAACTGGCATATACGAAACTAGCTTTCTGTATCCGTGCTGAGCTTTCGTCAGTGACCAACCCGCTGACGCTGTCTGATGCAGCTTTCCAAATAAGCGAAGTCGTTAACACACTCTACCACTTCACTCTTTATTTCTAATGTAGTAATCAGTGTAGTTTAGTCCTGTAACATCATCTTACATTTGGCGCGAACAATCTTTTAGTGGCTTACAATGCCCAATAATTTACAAAAGTTAAATAAGTGGTGCTTACGTCTACTAGTGTTGTGTGATATATATATTAGCATAGTAGATGAGGTTTCGAAAGTTTAGTGTGTAGAAATCGCACAAACTACCTTATTAGTACAAATTCTCTTGAAGTAAATATGTTAATCAATATGTTGCACCTCCATCTCCTCGGTTGGCTTAACAAAACCCTGATCTGAAGCAATCTTCAGAAAGCTCTGAAGCTTGTCTTCTATCTTATTGCCACTTGTCAACAAGGCTTATCTGCAACCTCGAAAGAACTGATGTCCTTTCGGAAATTCGAACCCTCATCGATCAGTAGTGCAGTTAGCGACATAGTGATTGTGCTAGTTAGGCTTACTATTGACCTCCTGTAGGTGTACAGTGAATACACTGGTTGGTCACTGGGATGTAACCAGTCTCATATATATGTGGTACTTATTATCTTTACTAACTGAATTCAGGTGAACCAGAAACACTCAGTGGTAACGGCTGTGTATATGTACCATTAGGTGAGAAGAGTTCGAACCTCTCAGGGGCATCAGCTCCTCCGAGGTCGCAGATATGCCTTGATTCAGGGCTTCCTGCCGACTGCTTCCAACTGTTACGATGGTGAGGCACCTAGTTTGGTGGTCACATTGCATAACTGACTGAGAGAAGTCAGTCGGACTCAGCACGTTTTGGTTGGGCACTAGTCAGTAACTAGTGTAATGTGTCTAGTCTTTTGTTTTGTGCAGAATGGATTCTACCAGTCAAGTTTGCGATGTGATCCAAGGCTTCCTGCTGACTGCCTCCAACCATCTAATATTAACGATTCAAAGTGCACCATAGGAGGTCAATCGCGATTCTGAATAGCTCTCAGTGGTAACGTCTCTGATTGTAACACCCGGTGGTGACGTGGGTTCAAATCTCAGAAGGAGGGATGTGGGTTTCTTCAAGACGGTAGCAGATATGCCTTTTTGACTGACTGACTGGTGAATGCCAACTGGAATGAAACTTAGATAATATAAGACTTCCTGTCGATTGCTTCCAACCATTGGAAACTTACATTTTGTAGTTTATCTTAACTATTTTTACAAGGTCATTTTTACGTAAAATTGATAGTAAGCTTTTGTTGAGAAGAGGCAATTTAAGCAGATGTAGAGAGTATTTGGAAGAATTACTCTGTACTGTCCAGACAAATCGGTCAGTTAAGACTGGATTCCTAATGCCTGTTTTCATGTACCAACCAGACTGCATGCGGCACATACAATTGTAACGACAGAATACAAACGCCAGGCAACAGATCGTTTATTGAGAAAATCAACATATATTTATAAATTTTTAAATTACATTTTTTTCGGCGAAGAAACAATATCTTCTGATTGATTGTTTTCTTGCTGAAGGCTATTCTGTACAGCATTGTGACCGCTTCTCAGAAAGTTGAGGCATATTATCTGCAAATCCTATCTGCACACGTTAAGTCAGCTATGACTGGATGGTGAGTTCTTCAAGGTTAAACCTTGTTATTGCTTTTCTGATGACTCCGATTCGGGACATAACATCTACGTAAATTACTGTCTACAATTTTCGGCTTACAACCAGCTGTCACCATGTATTGACTGGTGATAACCGCCATATGAGCTCATCGTTTGTTATTTCGAGGATTCTTCTCAACTGGTTACAACCTGAACGATAAAAAAAAATATGAATTACATTACATTAAAGATTTTAACATACTTTTCCACGATCACAAGGAGTAATTCGTTGGTCGGAAATAAAAGTAACATTAGTCCGGAATGATTTAACTCATTAGGAGTTACAAACACTGACTATCTATAGAATAATTAGACAATTAGGCTTGGAAACAAAAAAACAGGGTTTCGTATATATATGTGTGTGTATAGAAACAAGGTTTAGCTGGGAAGAGCATAACAAAAAGGTAGATTATGTAACTAAAGAAAACGTCTTATCTAATGGCCAATAAAAAAAGAACAAGGTAGGGTGAGTCATGTGTAGATGAGAGAGTAGAGTGTTTTTTAGACATAAAAAAGGTGATTCATGAAAGTTGCATATTTTTTGTTATCACCAGGGCAGTGCAAGATTCACCACTGTCTCTTTCTGCGTACATAGATTTGGTTTAAGTCGTTTGATGGCAATTGTTTCAGCAAAGCATAGCAAGCTAGGTTCCCTTTTGCTTGTTGATTATTTTGAACGACTTCAGGTTGTCTACAAAATATGACCAGTGTGTGTCCAATAGATGACGAGCAATCGGACTGTTTAATGCTTGCTTGCGGACCTTTCAGTCTCCGCTTCTTTGGTATGTGTTCATAAATGTGGACACTAACCCTTCTCTCACATAGAGCATCTCAAATAAACTTCAGACCTTCATCAACAGTTGTCTTCACTCAATACTCAAGATCAGATGGCCGGCCAGTAAAGATCACCAACAGGGATCTCTGGAAATGAGCGAACCAACCCAGCAGGAACGGATTGTGAAACAAATAAGCAGGAAGAAATGGAGATGGATTGGCTGTCCATACTCTGAGGAAACAAACCATCAAGTGAGTGACATCACTAGACAAGCCATCGCTCGAGTGGAACCTGGCCGAAAGGGAAGCGGGCGGCGAGTTGGTCGTCAGTGCAAGGATGACTTGGAGGAGGTGATGTGAAGAGGAGATGAAAGCATGTGGGTGGCAGACTTGGAGGGGCGGGGGGTGAAAAAGTTGGCAGAAAACCGAAGGCAATGGAGACGCGCAGCTGAAAGCCCTATGTTCCTCCAGGAATTAAAGGATCTAATAATAATAACCTTTCTCTCTATTCTTCCAATGTATGTACTTTGGCACGTACATGTTCTTGCTTTGTTCAAGTTTATTAATGGGAAGAATTGCATGAAGTTTGAAGTAAGTGTGTGGGAACTCGAACTCAACCTCGCCCCACCCCTACTCCGCCACTAACTAAGTATAAGTCGAGTGTTTATTACCAATTAGTCACATTTTCATGATATAACCTTATTTGTTTGCTCTTCTTTGTTCTCATTTCTCTCAGAGTGGCTGGACATCCATTAGCTCAAAATGAAAAGTGTTTACATATGTTTCTACAAGAGAAGACAATCGATCGAAATTGTCGACTTGGCAAGTTACGTAATATCTAGAAGAATAGAAAAGAAAGTGGGCGGTGGTGAATAAATAGGAGAACTAAACCACATACATACATACACACCCTCGCACACACCGAAAGGGAAGAAACCATTAATTCTTTCATAATTATCAAACAACCTAGTAGTTACGATCTCTCTATGTCTTTGTCTCTGTCGATCTCATGAATCCCCCTTTATTCTTCTGTACATTTTGATTTTTCCGCTCTTTCATAATTTCACTTATATGTGATTATTATTATTTTTCGCGCTTTAATACTCAAAGTATCAACTGCGCTATGCATCGTCATAAAATAATACTGCTAATAGAGTAATGCAACACACAGACACACACACACACACCGTTGTGATCTCCTGATCTACTCTTGATTTAGCCGCGTTTTTATCTATGTGTTATTATGTACCTATTTAGATGTCCGTCTATCTGTCTGTCTATCTATCTATGTGTAGTATGTGTGTAGAGTGTGGAGAGTAGTCTTTAAGTGTGCTCCCTCAATAACTTCCTTATTGAGAACACTTACTATCCATTTGTGAAGGGATAATGGTAGTAGTAGTAATAATAACTATGTAACTAGTACAATTAATGAATACATTGGCTTATTTATATATTATACTAATTATTATCATCACTACTCATCTTTTGTGTTTTGGGTTTTACTGCAAACCCCGTCCCCTCCTCTCCCGGCGGCCTGTCTTGTCCGTCCCCCATTTCCCACGTATATCTATCCATCCATCTGGTGTTTTAGTAAACAAAATAATTTGCCTTTTTTAGTGTTTGTCATTTTATTTGTTTATTTTCCTTCCATTTTTTGCGTTAATATTTATTTGTTGTTGTTGTTGTTTTTAATCTTTATTGATTTTGTTCTTCTCTCTGTGTGTGTGTGTTGTGTTTTTTTATGACAATATGTTGTGATTCTTCATTCAGCCTATTTGATTTACCAGTAATATCCTCCTCTCACACATCAAATTCATTCGTGTTATGCAAGCGCGTGTACGCCTATGCTTGCGGGGGTGGATTCATAATATTACTGTGAATTTTATCTGTCTGCCTGAATAATTGTGATTATAAAAAAAAATATGAAATTGTTGTCCAAGTAACAAGAAATGAAATGAAAATTGTTCATACTATGACTCGACTTTTTTTTTATAATTTCTCCTCAAAAATTGATTTTCTTCAGTGTGCAGTAGGTAGGTATGAAAATGACTACCGAAGTAGCCTTTATGAATTTGAATAAGGCAGAATAAGAAGATGGTACCATCATTGTTTTTATTTCGTTGGAGAAAGAGAACCATTGGAAAACCGGCTAAAAGCACTGCCCAACAGATATCTCGTCCTGGTTAGGGAGTCTTCAGCAGTGTATGCACCCCATGGGACCCAGGACCACCTAGTTACAAGGCGAGATAGCTAGTAGACCATTTGGCCACTCACTGGGACACCCGATCCAATGGCCAGTCAGTGTATGAATTCTAAATTCTTCTTTCAATTCATGACATAGCGCAACCAATTCGCAATATCTTTTATCGATGAGTTACTGTCTCACCTTCAACCTGTGGTACCCTACTGATCATGGTCTCCTACTAGAACCCTAGGTTAACTGCGTAAATATGACTAGCCTGTAGTGAGCATCAGATTAATTTTCAAGTATTGGTTTTGTAGGTTATTTTGTTTGATTGGTTGAAGGATTTCATCATGAGCTGACACGAGTTAGAGAACCATTGGAAGAACTGTGAGTACTGCCAAACAGCTGCTTCGTCCCCGTTTTAGGGCTCTTCATCAGGACTCACCCAATGAAGTTGAACTTAATTCGTCTATTTCGACAATCTTAATAATCACTGTATGAATTATGTACTCTGGTCAATGTGTAAAAAGGGATTGCTGCATTCTTTTGATTATATAAGCGTTTTTCTGTCACAAACAAGTGGACTGATAATGTGTATGCGTGTTGGTTTCATTTGGCTTTCTTATTTTCAGTGCTGCTTAATTGAGGAGTGGGGTCATTCATTAAACTTGCTGATATTCAGGTTTTGTAATACTGACTCCACAGATGATATTGTTTTATTTGTGTGAGTATTTCCCTATCCACTGCTATGACTATCAACAATTCAAATAAAAGTTTATACATATTTATCTTATCAGTAGTTCTAACACTTACCTCCAATTTGCGGTGTTTCTGTGTTTGAATAACTAACAGACCCGTGTGTCGATTTATCTACCAAATATTTAAAGTTAAGTGGTTAATGGTTGTACAAATCTAAAGTTTTCATTCGCTCTATTATTATGATTTATTCGAGTTGATCCCTTTGTCTAAGGAGATGTGACTCATTGTCTTAAGCATTTGACTTTCATCCTGAGTTCGATTTCCACTTCGTTCACTTACTTTTTTCTCGGTAATCGTTACACAATATGTGTGGCTCGTGGCTTATTGCTAACTGATAATATTATGGCTTATGAATAGTCTGTTTTCAACGTAGAACTTTGCACCGATTTGCAGCAGTTCAGGTCGACACACTCCCTCCTTATAGCACACAAAGCAAGAGAAGAAATGCATAATAGAGACAGTAAGCAGAGATATGAGACAAAAGAATAGTAATATCGAAGAAGAGTTTCATTGGAAATTATAATTCACTTGGAGTGGATGCATCTGCGCCGTCATCGAGAAAGGTTTTTAGCCAGCCATATCACCAATTGTCTCCAGCCTTCATTGGTGTTTACCATCCCGAGGACTCCAACCAGGAAGTCTACACCTTCCTACCTCAGTGGTCTAAACTAACTGTTGTGGATTTATTTCATTGACTGATGAAGCCATGTTTAGGTTGTTTGACCACCGCTAGCCAAGACCTTTCCAACCTAACCCTATGTCAGCTAACATTGCCCGTTGTCGAGGAAGGCGATCGATGGCTAGGCATAGGTGACACATGTCCTAACCATCTGTCTCAGTCTATGTAACTTCAGTACACAACCTCGTCGATTGATTCCCCCTGCAACCCAGCTAGCACTCGAGTGGTGCCTAACCTTAATATTGCCCACGTTGTTATACCACTTAAGACACACGGGAGATAGAACGCAGGCACCTATGATCAAAGACAGCTAGGTAACCAGGCTTTTCATGTCTTCCGCTCTCAGTGGCCAGGTCTTACAGCCATGGCTTGTGAATATCGCTAGCCTAAACCTTAAAAGTAACCATGTCCAGCAAGAAGCCCCATATCCTTACTGTCCGCATCGTTTAATAGTAGTAATCATTGTGCGTCGATAGCACAGTGATTAGGACTCTCGCCGACCATGCACATGGTCTGGGGTTCGAGCCCTCGCCGACGCACACCTGATATCTATGGTCGACCTGCAAAATTTGGGCTACCGATATCCATGCTGAAAATTCCATACTTGTACCAAAAATACAATGTGGAATCAAGCTGTAATCAGAAATAAAAATAAATAAATAAAAACAACGATATTGTCAGTTAGCCTAATTAAAGACACATACATCATTAACCCTGCCTACTTACAGTCTTCCGTGTTCTATGTAATATGACAAAGTCTTTTTTGAGAAGTTCAGGGAAGAATAATGGCGGCGAACAATAAAAGAGAATGGGCAGAATACATGAATTAACAAGTTGTAAGAGAGGAGGGGATAAGCTGAGTTATGCCTGCAGAAAGTCTCAACTTCTTTATTTAATAATTCAAACGAAAGAGTTCCTTATAAATTAACTTGATATGAGATGACTAACAGAGATACGAAGAGAAACTAATGGCAAGATAAGAAATATTCCGTTTACGCTCCTCTATCACAGTGGCGTCAGTGTTACAGGAATCATGGGACTGATTCACTCCATGCAAGTCTTTTCCGCATCTGAAACTAAAATCAACAGTATGACTCCTAGATGGATTTAGTTTAAGGATTTAACGGCAAATAATGAAAGCAGCTACCAGAGATAGGTAGACAATGTATGTGTGTGTGCATATTTCTAGCATACACTCTGTTACTGTGGTGCTTAACATTTTCTTGGACTTGTGATTGACTAACTTGCGGCAAGTGCCTAAAATACTGTTTAAGGTCATTTAACTAACTTCTTCCTGTCATATCTAGTAATTCAACAGTTGACATAACTACTGCTAACCTCTTCCATTTGCCTCGAGTGTGATGCAAAATCTGTCCAAAATTCTCAAAAGAATGAGTGTTGTGTGGTGGGGGGTTAAGAATCAACTAGGACTTAATTTTAGAATATGGAAGGGTTGCGAAAGAGTTCTTAACTTTATAGGTACACATTATTAGAAAACTTGACTAAACTGAGAAAGACGTTTCTTGATTTTAAGCTTGTTAGCAGCTAGACTCTATGTGTATCTAAAACTTGAAGAGGACGATGTTGGAATTTTGTAAATGTCTGTCTCATCAGGCGCTAACACGCTGATTTGTTTTATTATTACTATTGCTATATCCTTTAATTCCTAGAGGAACATAGGGCTTCAGCTGCGCGTCTCATTTGCCTTCGGTTTTCTGCCAACTTTTTCACCCCCCGCCCCTCCAAGTCTGCCACCCACATGCTTTCATCTCCTCTTCACATCACCTCCTCCAAGTCACCCTTGCACTGACGACCAACTCGCCGCCCGCTTCCCTTTCGGCCAGGTTCCACTCGAGCGATGGCTTGTCTAGTGATGTCACTCACTTGATGGTTTGTTTCCTCAGAGTATGGCCTCCACTCCACCTGCATTTCTTCCTGCTTATTTGTTTCACAATCCGTTCCAGCTGGGTTGGTTCGCTCATTTCCAGAGATCCCTGTTGCTGATCTTTACTGGCCGGCCATCTGATCTTGAGTGGTATTGAGCGAAGACAACTGTTAATGAAGGTCTGAAGTTTGTCTGAGATGCTCTTTATGACGCGCGGGCCAAGTCTCTAATCCGTATAGTAGCACTGACTGACTTCTCGTTGAAGTTGAAAATCCGGATCTTACTTTCATTTTCATGGTGAGTGCTGTTGACCTCCACACAGACTTGAAAGTAA